TGATGAATAATTTGATATGAGATGAAAAATGAGAAATTTACTTTTTTTTGGTTGATTATTGTTTATGTAATTTTGGATATTCATTTTGACGAAAACTTGGTGTCCTTGAATTCATTTTGACGAATAACTTGGTGTTGTTTTAGTCATAATTGTATACGTTTGACGAAAAACTTCTCAAAGGATAATTGTCGAAACAATTTGGTGTACTTGACTCGTTGATAGATAGTTCTATTTCGTATATGTTGAGCGTATATACAGCATATTTTCAGTATATGTTTCCGTCCGAGTAATGTAGCATCCTTCCAACTATTCTGTATATGTTGCGGGTATATATAGTATATTTTCAGTATATGTTTCCGCCCGACTAATGCAACATCATTCCAAGAAGAATAAAGCAAATGATGAGATTGATTCACCCCTTGGACATGAGAGAATTAAATATATACTGTATCAGAATATGTACCATAAACATACTCTATAAAGTTTCTAAAAACCATCACAATCAATAAACAATATATATACAAAAAATATACAATATTTATATATATATATATATAATTAGGGGGCAAGCTTCATTTAATGTTATTCAACTTCAATTAATAATAATATGAGGTCATTTAATAAAAATAGGTTGCATTTAATAAAAGTATGTTCACTATTTAATAATAATATGTAACTTTCAGTTACACAATTTATTTTGACATGTCAAATATTTTGGATGGTCCCCATTTCTGTAACACATTTTTATGGCATGAAATACAAAATATTTTTGTTTTTATTTTAATACTTTATATTTTTTAGGTATTGTATAAATACATATTTCACACCTAATTTAAAATGATTACAAGTATCTCTATTTTCTATTGCAGTCATACAATAATAAAAAAATATTATTTCGGATATTACGACGATACATCAAATATTTTGAAAATCAAATTTCAGAGTCACGAGTCGAAGAAATTTAACGATAATGATTTGTTGTGATGAGGATTCTGACGATAATAAAATTATGATTGTTTTATATAAAGAAGTGTTTAATAGATTTTTAGATTAACTTTTTTAAATAAATTTTTTCTAATTCATTAAGTTATGATTTTTTATTTTATTCTACATTTTTAATTATTTTCTCTTCTATTATATTATTTTCCGTGCAAATGTACGGGGTAAAACTAGTATATACCAAAAACTAATACAAACATACCCTATAAACATTATATATACAAGTATACAATATATATACCAAAAAGCATATTGTAACTTGCACGCGGGCACCCAAATTTATTTTGGACTTCCTTGTTTTCCGCCGACGGGTTCCAATGGGACCTCTTCAGCTCAGAAGCGAACATCGAGTGCGCTTCTGATTACCGTCTCCGCCACAACGGTGCCGCCCCTGCCTCGGCCCTTCCCCGTGGAAGGCAGATCCACAAATCCTGCAACAACATCAAGATCACAATCCTCTACGGCTTCTTCACCATCCTCGCCTCCTACAAAGCCCAGGTCGAGATTCGAGAACCAACACCTCATCGAGAAAATGAATCGAATTTTCGCCATGGATGAGAATCAGATTTTCGCCATGGATTGAGAAAACGAATTGGATTTTCGCCATGGATGAGCAAAAGTTTGGGTGTTGTTGTATTGAATCCCGTCAGTTACGGGATTCATATGACAACTTTTGGTCATGGGTTACGCAAAAGAATGAAAAGAATCGGTTTTATTTTGGTAACATAAAATATCGCATAACACAATTAATCCACACTGAAATTGTCATATGCTAATATTTTCAACCCAATAGTATGTTTGTAATTATTTATGAATCACGTAGGAAGCGTGTAAATTTCCCTTTATGTTTAGGGTGGTTTGCCTTGGTTTAGATCTTTTTTCTTAATTTGGGGTTGGTACTTGGCCTCAAAAGCACTATGTTTCAGGCCATGTATATACTTTCATGACATAAATTAGCAGATGTAAGTTCTTTGGGTGAATAAATAAAATATACAAGTATAATTGTTATGATTTTAATCTATGTTCTTATAAACCAAATCATGTTATATTTTCCAATCACAGAATGATGTATCAACTTTCATGCCCAGAAAGTGATTTCCCCAAGCACCATAGTTTTCTTGAAGAAAGCATTGATTTGATGCCCCAACTCTTCTTCGTGCACGATTATGTACATTGTACTAAGATTAGTAGATACAAATAGCATAGACGAAAAGCAAAAAGCACGGTCCAAACTCGAAAAACCAAAAACCATATATAGCTCTCAACCTGTTTTCGGTTACTGATAGCCCTTTTTAACATTTAAGCCCAAATTTGTAAGTCTTGCTCGGGTAGCAATGGAAGTTCTCATCTCCCCCGAATCCACGCTTGGTATTGTAGCCCGGGTAGTGATGAAGCTTAAAATCGACAGCCTCTACAAGCATTAGCCCGTGCGAAGAAGCCATCGACTCCAACTTCCATTCTGCATGGACACCATTCGTCTTGTGTGATATGTGAATTTCCCCATTTTCGCTCAACATCTCTTTCGCATTCTTCAGAAACAGGCTCACGAGTCTCCTGTGACGTCTGCTCAGTTAAAAACAAGCAAACTAAACGTTACGAAAAAATGGCCGATTTACTGTTAACTATTCCAAATAGCAAAGTAAGGGCCTCGACCAAGACCTTAGTTGAGAATCAAGTGGCATGCTACCGAAAAATCCAGCAAAAGGGAAATTGAAAATTATGCGGTCGAATTTAATTGCTCCCAAGAACTCGTGGTTTGCGATTAATGTAGCGTCAATCTCATGCATGACTTTGCACTTCCTGACGCCTAGTTCGATTATGTTGGGCAATGCGCAATCGTAATTCTTCACCAAGAATTCTGATAAAAATAGAGCCAAACAATACAATTTGTTAACATGAAACTAAAAAATCAGATTTTATTACAAGTGTTGGCCCTAAATCACTTTAATTAGTGCCAAAATTCAAGCGTCCTGCATTTTTGAAGCCATAAGTTGAATTCCTCTTTAACTAACAGATGAAATTGGATGAATCAAAAAACTATCAAGACAATTTCATTCAAAGAAAAAAAAAAAATCACATTTGCAGAGCTTCTAATGATGTAGGGAAGTGTACGAGTGAGAAAAATAAACAAGATACTCTCTCGATAAAATTCACAATCAATTCATATTTTCATTCAATAATCAACTGAGCTCGAATCCATCATCTAATAACACCATTTTAATCAGAAAAAAAAAAAGAGTTGTTAGTACCTTCGGAATTGAGAGAAGTTGAGATCATGTTGGGAGCCAAACCAAAGGACCTCGCCAAACACGTGGAGAATGAGAAGTCACCCTCTCCAACAAGAAGTATCCTCTGTTCGTTACTATAATGCCTAAAACGCCTTATTATTATCCCTTTATTACTAATATTATTATTATTGTTAGTACCATTTTCGGAGATTTTCGAACTTTTATTTTTGCCGTCATCTTGACGAGTAGTCTTCAAAGGCTCTTCACTGTTAATCTGATCATCTGTGATGCCATTACCCAAATAATATCGGATCACACTCACCAATATTCCCATTTTGCTCAATCTCTACTGTGAAATGAGCGATACATATATACACACACCTGCCAGAACAAAAATAAAAATAAAAATAATAATAATAATACTAAAATTGAGGAGAAATTAAGTAACATCTCTTTTTTTTTTAATTATTGTTCATTTTTTTATTTTTTTATTTTTTTTT